TGCTCGATGACAGCTCGTACTTTTCCTTTTTCTCCCTCCCTCGCGCTCACAGACACATAACCGGTATGCACTAGTCCAGTCTCCCTGCAGCACGGACTACACTTCCCATGAGGCTCCATTCTTTACGGCTATGCCTGCAACACTCTGCCTATTGCCTTCATATTAAATCATTTTTGTGAATAATTTTTAAAAATATTTCTTCACGTCATTATGCGGGCTGCAAGTTGATGTGACATGGGCCGCGAGATTGAGACACAGACATGAGAGCCTCTTAATGCGTGTTTTGTTTGGGTTTCCACCAGCGTGGAAAGCAAAAACAAAGAGGGCATAGCCTTATGAAACAGGAAAATACCACAGTGTAATCCATTCATTTTAACAAAGTAACTGTATTCTGAATACCACCTTTTAAAACGGTAATTGTAACGGATTACAGTTACTCATATTTTGTATTTTAAATACATGTATCCCGTTACTCCCCAACACTGTAAGTCTGGGACAGATATGGCTATTATTGCTGGGAGAGGTTGATATTAAACACACACACACACATGCATAACGATTGCATACACAGACAAATACACATGCAGCATTTAAACATGTACAGTGTCTCACCTTAGCACCAGGTATTCCTGTTATGTGTGGAGCAGGAGAGAGGGAGAGAACAGATCATAGTTAGTGAACAAACTATGTTGGCCTTGCAGTGCGTCCTGGAAGGAGAAAGGCTACCAATACTGGGAATCAATTTTATGTTCTTGAATTAAGCTGCTCCAAAGACCACCACCAAATCACATTTTCATCACACGAAGAGCCCATTAGGACTGTAAACAAGTGTTGGTTGCATCGCCATCTCGCATTAAGAGCTCAAAGCAAAACCAGCTGCAGAGTGAGGGTAAGAGTAGAGAGCAAAGGAGCTGGAGTAGCCTGCAAAATTGTATTTCTACTGAAACGTTAAACCTTCTGTGCCGTGGGCAAAGGCAGGAACTCTGATTTCACAGCATTTTAAGCTCATTGTTACTTTTTTTGCAACTCAAAGAAGTTAAACTATGATGATCAGTGAAGCTAAAGCAGCAGGTTTGGTTAAAAATGAAAAATGTAACTAAGTATTGTTTTAAACACTTTGACACAAGAGTGCATAGGATTCTTAAATATTAATAAAAACATCAAAATGACATTTTTGTCAAGTTGTAACAGTTTTTTCTGCAACACTTGTTGAAGATGACATTTATCTTTAGAATTTTGATATACATACACTAATATGTTAATATATACATATACATGTACGTATATCAGGAACTATCAGATCAAATAAAAGTCAGTACAGATCTGACAGATGCATAATGCTGTTTGTGGGTAGTCTGAATATATTTCAGTTTTTATTAGCTCTGTTTTTATGTGATTAAAAGCTTAAATTCAAAATAAGTATATTATAAAGCATTTTAATCCAGAAGCATGCAATGAAAACAGTGACACATGCATTGACACAGTGACTTCACTCAAGCTGACCTTATTTATATTTCCAAACGTGACCCATACAGTTTGTATATCTGTATCAATGGCATTTTCAAATGTGGTGAATAGATCCTAATAGTCTGAACTCTCAGTACGCAGTCACTGTGTTTTCTTGCCATCAGATCTGCAGAAATCCACAGAGAGGATATAGAGTAGAAATGTGAAGCCGTGTCTGCTCGACTGAGGTATTTCCTTAATGACTCCCACATGTTTTCATGATACTGAGAGAGGGAGAGAGTATTCAAACAAGATGGGGCCAAGGTGAGCCAGCTATGGAAAAATTACGGCGAGGTAGCGCTTCAGTGAAATCCTGTCAGATGTGTCACTGTTGTTGTTTATTTCTCATCATTTGTTTGCTTTGGGGTTCGAAAACTGTATTTAAATCAAAGGCTGTCACGCAGTGCATGTCCAAATAGCACATTAGGGTGAACATCGTGTTAAACAGCAGCTACCCGACCTTTGATTAATACCAAATTTAGGCGATGTGGCGTTTTCTCCCCAAAATAAACAATATGATCCTGAGCAGTAATTTATTTATGTGAGATGTGAGATAAATAAATTACAACCAGAGGCTGGAGGCTGGTCAGCAGCGCAGATGGGGCAACACTCTCCAAATGGGATTTCAGGTTTGGGGCAGTCTTTTAGCTCCTCGCAGACAATTTCATCGCACAGGACGGTTCCAGTGTCACACACACAGATGCGACAAGGCTCTGGTTTCCACACATCCTTGTCACTATAACGCTGTCCATCTTGTACACAGCTAAACGCGTCCTCTTCTGTGTGTCGGACCGTGGAAAGGGACACACAGAAGAGGTGCGGGTAGGTAGCAGCGGAAGGGAAAAAACGAGAGATTATATATCAGATGCGAATAGCAGTCAGTGTCGTGTGTTTCATGACAGACAAAAACAAAACAATGTCATATTCAGCTGTGAAACATATACGCTGTGATATGATGCATGCAAAATAACGCCATAAACAGCCTTTCGATGAATGTTTTTCAACACAAGTGCAGAAAGTTAAATTAAAGGGAGTGTGTAGATTATTTAACGCACTATATCAGCACAGTACTCTTAAATAAAAAACATATAATTGTCAGTGACAGTTAATCTGGCAGTCCAAAACCAGACCAGATTTAGTTTATAATAATGTAAATGGGAACAATCAATTCCTCAAAGAAAGGCATTAAAAACAAAGAAAAATGGCATTATTCCCTGATTTATTATCATAGTTATCTTTGCTAATTTTTCTCTTGTTGACTTATTAATGTTGACGTCTACAAAAACCACAACTTCTCTGCTTCAAGTCGAGCTTTTCTTCACTTGACCGAGAAATGCAACCTCTCAAGTAGCCACCAGGTGGCAGTTTAGCATCGCAGAATTACAGACAAGCGATGCAAGACCTGCAGGAAACCCCCAGTAGCTTTACAGGAGCTGGAGGCCATGTGTAGGAATTCCTCAACAAGTTAAGTACAGGACAATTAGAGCTGGAGACACCCTACTGTACTGCAAAAGAGGCGAAGTTTGCACTGAGTTAATGAAAACGTTTGGATTATTTTCTCAGGCCACATTCTGCTGAAGGGCGCGAGAGAACGTGCTGGAGGCGGTTCACTTCTGAATACAGCTGCTGTATGTGGTGTAAATGACGCCGCTGGCATCACAGTTTTACAGTAGATCCGGGTAATCAGAAACGTGTCGGTTTTCCAGCCTGGCAGCCAAACACCTGCTTGATAATAAAAAATGGAGTCGCAGAACCTGCGGCCGGGTGATGAAAAGAAAGGCTCCAAGGTGCGCACTGCTGAGAGGTGAGAGGACAAGGAGCAAATACAGTAGCTATATTTACCTTTGAGAGCTGCTTAAGTCTAAGTATCCAAACGGACCTCTGCAGCCATGAATGAGGCCTTTTTGGAAAGAAACAGAGTGGGCAATTCACAAAGTATTGCCTTGTATAAACACGGGGCACATTTCAATCCCCATCTGGAAACCATAGCTGCGTCAGATGCCAGCTCAAACCCACCGGAGAAAAGAAAATGGCCAGCTTTCATGCGCATACCTTGCGGTTTTGACATGAACTTCTACAGGCCTGGATGCACCATGAAAGGGCTGCACCTGTCCTTTCACTGGCTGTAATATGAAAGATTCTGCTGATATGGGGTATTGTAGGACAAGGGGTCCTCTATCTACTGGAGAACTGACAGAGAGCTGGCTTTTCATCACTGGGGATAATTTGTGAGTCTCCTCTCCCATATGCTGGCAACCATACTGTTTTCCAGGAGAGTAAAACAATGAAAATTGTAAAGTGAATCCAGGTGTACTTTGAGGACATTAGAGTCAAGCGCGTTCCTATTTAGTTAGTAACTGTTTAGGTCTCAGCGCTAATTCTACCTATGTCTGATTAACTTTATGGCCTCAAGAACGGTGAGTTGGTGGCCTCAAGGTTTAGAGCTCCAGTCCTTTTGCTGTGCTAGGGTCACAATAACACCTCTATACCCCGTCTCCCTAAAAAAACAAAAAGTGCTAGGAAAGAAGGGCTCGCATTATAACCAGGAATCCAGGAACTGACATCTCTGAGAGGGTAACCTGAGACTTCCAATTGCTTTGGCATGACTATTCCCCTCTATCCTATCCTGGGAAAAAAAGGCATTTTTTTCCTCCAGCTTTCTTGAACTCAACTTGTATATTATTAAGAACACTGCACTTTCTTCACATCAGAATAATAAAGTCCCTGCTTTATATTTTTTCCAGTTACCCCTCTTGCACCCTGGCTCTGTCTCTTTCTGGACTGACTGTCACAGCTTATGGGTAATCTTTTAAGCAGATGGAAAGCCTGAAATCATATGGAACATTATTTCTGGCCCCAAATCTGCTGGCGTACCTTTACTCTCAGATCTCTCTTGTGGATACTAAAATCAATAATAATGATTAAGAATCCTGCTCCAGTTATTAAAAAAATATAAACAGTCTGCAGGTGTGATGGACGATTTGCTCTCAACAGGGTGAGTATCCTGTCAGTAAACTAGTAATTTTGAAATATTTGATGGAGCTTTTAGTTATTAGTTCAGCTTTCTGCCCCAACAAGCCATGATTTGCCTGGATGCCCTCAGAAAGCAAAGGAATGTGAATACTTTTCACCAAAGGCCCTTGAGCCTGACCACCTTTCACTTTTTGCTCATCCCCTCCCCCTCCCCCACTATATTAAGTGAATCTGCAGCTAAAAGGAGAGTCTGCGAAGGCCCTTAAAACACCCACAGGTGTCATGCAGTTCGACTTTGAGAAAGAAGGGGGAAGGTAGCTTTTAAGGCAATGAGCTGAGTTCAAAGTAGGAATCAGAATCACATGATCTTCGGTTTTAACTTAAACTAGGACGAATAAATGCAAAAGTAAATAAGAAATAAAAAAGAAAAGCGCGCTTTGAGTGTTTTTTCCACGTTAACTTCCACCACATCTTCATCAATCCCATTCTCGCGCGCGCCCGCAAATGTGACATGCACTTACATCCTACATCTCATAGAAATTAAAACATAAACAGACGGCAGACCGAAGATCCACAGAAATCATCTTTCTGTCATCGCATAAATAACCTTTCATGCACAGAAAACATCAAAGATATCGGTGACTTTTCTGTGCGTAAAAGTTCCAAAAACCTCCACACGTCACGTACTGTGCTGAAACATTATTTACAATATGGTTATTCGAGTAACTCTTAGTATTCTCTTTATACAAGTTGAGTTTTTTCTCATCAGAGAAATAAAACTGTCACTTACGGTCGTCTTCCACCTGACATCTCACAACGGCTAATAGACAAACTTGGCTCGCTACAAGTAGCAGTATAGTCCTGGAATCCATCAAGCTGAACATGTCTAAATATTAGACATGCAGGGCCCTTGAGGGAGAAAAAATGGTGCGAAAGGAGCGGAGGCTTCTCTCGTTATTTGGTGTTTGTGTCCCCAATTACAAAAGCCAGACCATTCGACCTTCACCCTTCCCAAAAAACCGATGGGGGAATCCAGCGGCAGGACCTGGACCTGCAGCACAAACTCAGCACCGACCGCTTCAGGCCAGACGCTGTAGTTTTATGTCCCTGTTACCTTCAATGAATCTTCGTATATTCGCAAATATCAGGCCGGCCCCTTACCCCCTGTCAGGCTGTAACCCGAGCCCAGTTTCCCTCCCATCTGTCTCTTTGGTCCCATTATTGCGCTCCCAGGCCACTCCTTTCCCCACGTGCTGAACTGAACCCAAAAAAAGCCTGAAACTTTTTCTCTCTTATTTTGGTGCCGTCCCCGCTTCCTCACCCTCCGTGTTCATAGAAAGCATAGTAACGATGTCACAACCTGTTCGTCACGCAAACTGACAGCGTTTCTATTTATTTCATCACGTAGGTTCAGGGACATGTGTGCAGTAAACGGAGGCAAAGGCGCATTAAAACTATCCAAAAATCACAATCACGCAACCATACACTAATATTTAAATATTTATGAGGGCAAGACTAAAACAAATAATAATAATAAAGTTTAAAAAAAAACTATATTGATGCATATTTTTATAATTTATTAGCTACTTCCGTTTAATGGTCTCTCTCTTCATGTAAGTTATTTTACTGTTCCTGTGGTCTTAGTAAAGCTGGTAAACAATGCTTGGTACACCTGTAAACCGCCTTTTAATTAGCAAGCTCTTTATTTATGACTTCATACTTCAGCAGTTTTAAGCTACAAGTCAGTGCTGACAGTCATCCAGCATCGTGGAGATTGGAGCTGAAATGTTTTAATCAGTTTTGTTTAGCTCTAGATCCTTTGATGCCGCACAGGTACACTTACAGGAAATGCTGCCTGTGTGATAATTAGGTGCTGTAATGACTCTTATTTCCTCGCCAATCTTCTTGATCCAGCTGTGTGATCTTTCAGATCCGAAGTTCCTCAGACTATCTGCACTTTGCTCAGACAGTTTTCTAACTGCAGTGTTTCATCTGCTCTGTAATTTCTGTGTCTCGCTGGTTTATTTTGAGAATGAAATAACTGGTTCATTAAACCGGTGTGAAAATATGGGCTGTTTAATATCAGCAGATTAAGGGAGATGTGAATGTGTCATTAGAGTAGAATATCTACAATCTTTCATTGGTATTCGACTTCCTGTTGGTCACACAGAAAACATTTCTAACCCTT